TGAACTTTGTTCATCTGTGAATCCTGAAAAAACTAAATGCATCACAGTTTCCACAAAAATATTGTGCAGCACAACTGTTTTCAACATTGATAATAATCAGAAATGTTTGTTGAGCAGCAAATCAGTATATTAGAATGATTTCTGAAGATCATGTGACACTGAAGACTGGAGTAATGATGCTGAAAATACAGCTGCGCATCACAGAAATAAATTACAGTTTAACAGATATTCACATAGAAAACAGCTGTTTTACAGTGGAATAATATTTCACTGTTTTTACTGTGTTTTTGATCAATTAAGTTTGCTGTTTGAATTGTATTGGACATATGATTTGTCTAATAAAGCAGTAATCATGAAGGCCCATCCCTAAACCTGACCCTCAATGCTTCGTCATTCATACAAATTCACCACCAATTTAACAAAGCGTCATATAGTTATGAACCGTCATGAGACGGTGTGGACCAAAACAGACAGCGATCTACATGTAACGTGGGGTTTGGGTTTCATGTTCATTGCTCTCATGTCTTTTATTTTGGAGTTTAGTCATAGTCCCTGTCTAGTCATGTGATTCCCTTGCCCTCATGTTATCCTGCTATTGGTTCTTTGGTTCATGTGTCATGTTCTCATTGGTTGTGTTAGTCATGTGTCCTGTCTCTCATTGGTTGGTTCTTGTCAAGTGACCCTTGTTGTTTGATATAAATAGCCCTTATGTTGCCTTTGTTCTTGGTCGAGTATTGATGTTGTAACCTGCTGTTGGTGAGTTAAGTCTGTTCATGCCACGTCTGTTCAAGCCAAGTCAAGTCTGTTCAAGTCTGTTCATGCCAAGTCTATTCAAGTCTGTTCATGTCAAGTCAAGTCTGTTCAAGTCTGTTTGTTCCAATTCAAGTCTGTTCATGCCAAGTCTGTTCAAGTCTGTTCAGGCCAAGTCTGTTCAAGTCTGTTCAGGCCAAGTCTGTTCAAGTCTGTTCAGGCCAAGTCTGTTCAAGTCTGTTCAGGCCAAGTCTGTTCAAGTCTGTTCAGGCCAAGTCTGTTCAAGTCTGTTCAGGCCAAGTCTGTTCAAGTCTGTTCAGGCCAAGTCTGTTCAAGTCTGTTCAGGCCAAGTCTGTTCAAGTCTGTTCAGGCCAAGTCTGTTCAAGTCTGTTCAGGCCAAGTCTGTTCAAGTCTGTTCAGGCCAAGTCTGTTCAAGTCTGTTCAGGCCAAGTCTGTTCAAGTCTGTTCAGGCCAAGTCTGTTCAAGTCTGTTCAGGCCAAGTCTGTTCAAGTCTGTTCAGGCCAAGTCTGTTCAAGTCTGTTCAGGCCAAGTCTGTTCAAGTCTGTTCAGGCCAAGTCTGTTCAAGTCTGTTCAGGCCAAGTCTGTTCAAGTCTGTTCAGGCCAAGTCTGTTCAAGTCTGTTCAGGCCAAGTCTGTTCAAGTCTGTTCAGGCCAAGTCTGTTCAAGTCTGTTCAGGCCAAGTCTGTTCAAGTCTGTTCAGGCCAAGTCTGTTCAAGTCTGTTCAGGCCAAGTCTGTTCAAGTCTGTTCAGGCCAAGTCTGTTCAAGTCTGTTCAGGCCAAGTCTGTTCAAGTCTGTTCAGGCCAAGTCTGTTCAAGTCTGTTCAGGCCAAGTCTGTTCAAGTCTGTTCAGGCCAAGTCTGTTCAAGTCTGTTCAGGCCAAGTCTGTTCAAGTCTGTTCAGGCCAAGTCTGTTCAAGTCTGTTCAGGCCAAGTCTGTTCAAGTCTGTTCAGGCCAAGTCTGTTCAAGTCTGTTCAGGCCAAGTCTGTTCAAGTCTGTTCAGGCCAAGTCTGTTCAAGTCTGTTCAGGCCAAGTCTGTTCAAGTCTGTTCAGGCCAAGTCTGTTCAAGTCTGTTCAGGCCAAGTCTGTTCAAGTCTGTTCAGGCCAAGTCTGTTCAAGTCTGTTCAGGCCAAGTCTGTTCAAGTCTGTTCAGGCCAAGTCTGTTCAAGTCTGTTCAGGCCAAGTCTGTTCAAGTCTGTTCAGGCCAAGTCTGTTCAAGTCTGTTCAGGCCAAGTCTGTTCAAGTCTGTTCAGGCCAAGTCTGTTCAAGTCTGTTCAGGCCAAGTCTGTTCAAGTCTGTTCAGGCCAAGTCTGTTCAAGTCTGTTCAGGCCAAGTCTGTTCAAGTCTGTTCAGGCCAAGTCTGTTCAAGTCTGTTCAGGCCAAGTCTGTTCAAGTCTGTTCAGGCCAAGTCTGTTCAAGTCTGTTCAGGCCAAGTCTGTTCAAGTCTGTTCAGGCCAAGTCTGTTCAAGTCTGTTCAGGCCAAGTCTGTTCAAGTCTGTTCAGGCCAAGTCTGTTCAAGTCTGTTCAGGCCAAGTCTGTTCAAGTCTGTTCAGGCCAAGTCTGTTCAAGTCTGTTCAGGCCAAGTCTGTTCAAGTCTGTTCAGGCCAAGTCTGTTCAAGTCTGTTCAGGCCAAGTCTGTTCAAGTCTGTTCAGGCCAAGTCTGTTCAAGTCTGTTCAGGCCAAGTCTGTTCAAGTCTGTTCAGGCCAAGTCTGTTCAAGTCTGTTCAGGCCAAGTCTGTTCAAGTCTGTTCAGGCCAAGTCTGTTCAAGTCTGTTCATGCCAAGTCAAGTCTGTTCAAGTCTCTTCATGCCAAGTCAAGTCTGTTCAAGTCTGTTCATGCCAAGTCTGTTCAAGTCTGTTCATGCCAAGTCTGTTCATGCCAAGTCAAGGCTTTCTTTGTTTGTTTGGATTACTTTGAATAAAAGCTGCACTTGGGTTCATCACAACTCGCCTTCAGTGGACCGTTTGTTACACTACAGCTGCAGGATCATCACAACATCTGACATTCAGCTTCACAAAACCCGCTGAAGAACTAAAGCTTCACTCCTGAATCCCTCCAGACAATAACAAGAGCAACAGACGCTTTCAGAAACTTCTCAACAAACCTCCTTCCAGGAACATTAACATAAGGTTAACAATGCCTAATAAAGGTTTAATGATGTTCTCAAAGCATTAGCAGAAACACATTATTTATACATCGTTCCTGGAATGTTGTTTTCTGAAACATTTTAGTTTGACGTTCACGTTCATCTTTTTTTAAACGTTACTTGTTTCAGAATGCTCAGAATGAAGAACCTTCTTTCACCACAAAGGAGCTTTTCAGAACAAAAACAGAAAGATTTAGACAAAAAGGTTCTTCTAATCTATGGCATTGTGAAGCACCTTTATTTTTAAGAGTGTATGAAGGCTTTATGGCACACCGCCGCTCTGTGAAACGTCTCTTCTGCTCCCTGCATTCACACAGAAACTCTCCTGAAACGCCAAAGACATCCACAAACCTCACAAACAAGCTTAAAACGGCTACTAGCCGACCACAATTACTGCTCCACTGTCACGGCCTCATCCCAGGATATATTTACCGGCCTGGAGTATAAATACACATAAACACCGAACCAAAAATAAAAGACACGGGTGGAGAAATATGAAAGCCAGAGTCGTCTGGATTGTGGTCAGAGCAGATCTTCACTAGCGTCTGAGCAGTTAATGAGGCAGGGTGACAGGACTGAACGCAGACATTTGTGCAACTGTTTGCCTAAAATGTGCGTAACACAACTCAACGAGGCTGTAAAGCGTGTGATGGGGAGCTGCTGAAGGGGTGTTTTACGCAGGACTCACCAGAAGGGGTCGCTCATCACGTCTCGGCCGTCGAAGGAGTACAGCGGGACTCTGGGAGGGAGGAGATGGCTGGAGAAGATGCTGTGCCAGCTCTTGAACAGGAGCTCACCCTGCAGACACACACACACACACATCAGACACGCTGCTCTCATTACAGCACATACACTAATATGAGACACTTCAGACTCTTAAAGAGAATTCTGAACCCTCACAACCTTCCTTCTCTCAACACTGAGGCTTTGAAAGACACAATAACAGTATGATTTAATAGCTTTGTGTGCAGATCAATACATGCACTAGTGTTCAAAAGTTTGGGCTTGGTGATATTTTGTGATGTTTCTGAAAGAAGTCTCTTCTGCTCCGCAAGGCTGCATTTATTTGATCAAAAATACAGTAAAAATAGTGAAATATTATTATGATTTAAAACAGCTGTTTTCTATGTAAATATCTGTTAAACTGTAATGTATTTCTGTGATGTGCAGCTGTATTTTCAGCATCATTACTCCAGTCTTCAGTGTCACATGATCTTCAGAAATCATTCTAATATGCTGATTTGCTGCTCAAGAAACATTTCTGATTATTATCAATGTTGAAAACAGTTGTGCTGCACAATATTTTTGTGGAAACTGTGATACATGTTATTTTTCAGGATTCACAGATAAATAGAAAGTTCAAAAGAACAGCATTTATTTGAAATAGAAATCTTTTGTAACATCATAAATGTCTTTACTGTCACTTTTGATCAATTTAATGTATCCTTGATCAATAAAAGTGTTAATTTCTTATTAACTTTTGAACAGTAGTGCATGTTATTACTGACTAAAATCTTGACATCCTCCTTTGCTCTTCTTGAGTTCATGACACTAGCAGTAATGACTGATTCATCAACAAATAAATTATTTCAAGTTTTCAGTGAATCATTTGATCTGCTGCACAAAACAATGATTTGTTTATAAATTGAAATGATCTGGTTCTCGACTCAATGATCTGGTCAAAGCAGCATTTCCAGCTCACTAGAGAGGAAAGTTATCAGTAAATCAAACATACAGCATAGCGTGTTCAACAAAAGTTTGCTTTAGAACAGCATGAGGGAGACTAAATGATTTGATATCTTGGGTGAACTATCCCTTTAAGTCCTATTTACATCAAGAACAAAACAAAATATGTGAGCCTGGAGCACAAAAGCAGTCTTAAGTCGCTGGGGTATATTTGTAGCAATAGCCAACAATACATTGTATGGGTCAAAATTATACATTTTTCTTTTATGCCAAAAATCATTAGGATATTAAGTAAAGATCGTGTTCCATGAAGATATTTTGTAAATTTCCTACCGTAGATATATAAAAACTTAATGTTTGATTAGTAATATGCATTGCTAAGAACTTCATTTGAACAACTTTAAAGATGATTTTCTCAATATTTAGATTTTGTTGCACCCTCAGATTCCAGATTTTCAAATAGTTGTATCTCAGCCAAATATTGTCCTATCCTAACAAACCATACATCAATGGAAAGCACATTTATTCAGCTTTTTTTTTTGCATAAATCTCAATTTCACAAAATGGACCCTTATGGCTGGTTTTGTGCTCCAGGTAGGGTCACAAATGTCTATTCACACAACATTCAAATGAAAACGCATTGAGAAGCATTCACTATAGCTGAGCACAGGCCTTAAATCCCCAGAAACAAATGACTTTCCTTTACAAAGAAACGTCACGGCGTTCATGAGTGATTTATTAGTAAGAATGACAGAAAGCTGCTTTACCCTCAGGTTGACGATCGGCGTGTTTGTTCGGTACATGGGCTGCACGGTGTCAATCAGGTCCTGTAGGTGGTGTGAGAGGAAGGCCTTGTAGTCGTCTCTGATGCCCATGGCTTGAGCTTGAGTCCTGCACAGTTTATTAACCGAGTGGATGGAGCCCAGGTTTCCCGTCAGCGGCGTGTTGAGAGCCACCAACCTCAGCTGAGACACAGAGGAGAAGCACACGTGTGTCAGCACAGAGACTGCCGCATAGATCCACATTCACTCACATATATCCACACTCAGTGCCAGCCAGCAAGTGCTTGTCTACTGTCAGAAGTCTCTCTGTTGCTCAGTGCGGTGAACTGATCCTGCTGTGAATCTGGGAAGGAAATCTTTCACCCTCACACTAAATTCCCAGTCGTGTGGATTCCTATTGAAATGACTGGACTTCACCGGACAACAGTAAACGTGATCGTTACTTACCATCGCAATGCACAAAAATGCTACATGTGTAGTGTATAGACTGGTATACTGGCCAATAATCAGAATCAGCCAATGAAAGCAGTTATCTGCACTGCAATGTGTGTGCTAAGAACATTTCTCGTGTGTTGAATGTAGGGCAGCCGAAGTTAACACAATAACAATGCATTAACGCAATCTCACAAAAATAATAAAATAAAATAAAATAAAAGTGCTAACACAGGTTCTATTCGACCCTATTAATCACCCGTAGTTCATTCAAGGGTTGCCAGATCTGTGTTTTTTCTGTTATTCGTAGTGCATCTGTCATCATGTCTCATCTATGAATCAATCAATCAGTGTTTCAACCTAAAGAAAGACATATAAAACCGCTTATGATCAATATATCACTTTGCATTTACCTCAGGAAAGTCATGCAGGGATCACAGCTGGTTAGTGCGCTAGAGAAAACACTAGACATGAACTTATTTACTGTTAGCTTTATAACTATGTTTGAATAAATCTGATATGAAGAGCAGTTTTTATGGAAACCACCTTATGTGCTGTTGAGTTACATACAAACATTTCAGTTTTTATTTGCGTGTGATTATTATATGTGAACATAAACAGTAGTTTGGGCTCTGCTGTTAATTATAACCTCTAATATAGTAATGTTTCAAATGAGAGGGTTCCCTGAACAGTTTGCAGTATATTTAATACTTCTCATATATACACACACATTATATACATTATATTTGCAATATACATTATATTTAATATTGTGTATAAAGTGTATACACATTTATATACAGTATTTGAAACTGTAGCCAAAGTGTCCAAAAACGATTATAAATAAATAGTTATTATTTAAAAAATACTTTTTGGGGAAACTGTATATAAATTAACTATTTCTGTATATATTTACTAAAATATGTTAATATATTATATATATAATAATAATACACTACTGTTCAAAAGTTTGGGGTCAGGAAGATTGTTTTTAATGAATAAGGATGCATTAAGTTGATCAAAAGTAACAGTAAAGACATTTATAATGATCTCTAAAGGATTGTGACACACTGAAGACTAAGATCACAACAATAAATTACATTTTAATATATATTTACATATAAAACAGCTATTTTTAAATTGTCAAAATATTTCATAATATTACTGTTTTTAGTGTAATTTTGATCAAATAAATCCAGCCTTGGGGAACAGAAGAAACTTCTTTCAGAAACATTGAAATATCTTACCGACCCCAAACTACTGAATGCTGGTGTACATTATAAAAGTGCCACAGGTCTTTCGTGAACACTTGAGTGATGACCAATCAACTTGAATCAACAATGCTGTTTATACTTCCAAAATAATCACTGTAAATATGAGTGTTGTGAATATTCAATATATTGTCCAGCCTTCATTTAAAAGACACATCATCTGTTTCTCCTTCTCTCTCTAGGCGAAATTCAAGATAGAGGTGCAAAAATGCTCCTGTATGAGTTTCGGTCTCATATTTATATCATACAATATCACAGGAGCAGTGAGAGCAGTAATCACCAGTTCAAATGTGATTTTATACAACAGTTCAGTAAATAAGAAGTTGATATTGTGTGTATTGTGTAAACACAATATTATGTGTTTTTGCTCAATTTTACAGAGAACATATTACCTTTAAAGTCATAGCAGACTTGTTTGTCTCCGAGTTTCTGAATGAATCTGCGTTTTGCACGAATCGTGTGAATCAATGATTCAAAGCCCATTCATAAAGAGAGCCGTTTACTTCATTCCTGAACGAATCAGCCGTTTGAACGAATCAAATGAATGAATGACTCAAAGACATTTATGCTGGAAGATTTTGTTTCTTATTTAGAGTATCATTTCATTAAAAAAAACAAAAAATAATAATACAAATAAAAACATTAAAGTGATAGTTCACCCCAAAAATGTAAATTCTGTCATCATTTACTCGCCCTCATGTCGTTTCAAACCTTTCTTTTGTGGAACAAAAAAGAAGGTATTTTGACGACTGTTGATAACAAAGCCATTTATGAATAAAAATAATTTTATGTTGAATCAAATAAAATATATCTTTCAAAAGCTACAATTTGTAATGTCTACTTGATACTTTCTCATTTAACACAAAAATAGCTTTAAATAATCTTTTGTGGGTATTTTCAGTCAAATTTATTTTGCAATTAATTAATCGAAACATCATGTAATTAATTAGATTAAATATTTTAATCTACTGACAGCCCTAGAATTTAGAATATAAACGGCGTAATCTGCCATTTTCAGTAAGATCCACACTCACACTTACACACAGACACACACACACACACACACACACACACTCACACACACACACAGAGGCTCACCGCACTTCCGGTGTGTGTTCTGGGTGTGTGACGGAGCTGTGGGCTCAGGATCAGGGGCTCAGCCTGCAGGCAACACAGAAACACAAGCTGTACAGTCACGATGTAAATGAGTGCCGCCTGACTTCAAACGCTCATGTTTTCCATATTAAAGGGGTCATATGATGCGATTTCAAGTTTTCCTTTCTCTTTGGAGTGTTACAAGCTGATTGTGCATAGATAAGATCCCTGAAGTTGCAAAGACTAAAGTCTCAAAACCAAAGAGATATTCTTTATCAAAGTTAAGACTCTGCCACGCCCCCCTAAAACGGCTCGTTCTAACACGCCCCCACATATCGTCACTATGTGGAAATATTAGCATAACGCTGCCGATTTTTTTTAAAGGGGTCATATGATGCGATTTCAATTTTTCCTTTCTCTTTGGAGTGTTACAAGCTGATTGTGCATAGATAAGATCCCTGAAGTTGCAAAGACTAAAGTCTCAAAACCAAAGAGATATTCTTTATCAAAGTTAAGACTCTGCCACGCCCCCCTAAAACGGCTCGTTCTAACACGCCCCCACATATCTACCTCACTATGTGGAAATATTTGCATAATGCCGCCCAAATGTGCACGCAAAGAAAGAAGGCGTGGTTTCAGGAACAGCAGTAGTGTTGATGCAGCCATGTCAGTGCGAAAGACAGATTTCAGCTGTCTTAACCGTGGCTTGTGTACTGCAAACACATACCAGCTTCATCACTGTGTCTGTCACGGGACTCTGTTCCCCTTTCGGGCTCTGTCTTTACATTTATTTTGAAAGATGAAGCTCGGGATTATGGTAAGGGTGTTACATTTCCGAGGAGTGCTTGCGGTGTTCGGCCAATCACAGTGCACTGGGTCAGCTGGCCAATCAGAGCGGACTGCGCTTGTCAAAGGAGGGGGCTTTGTAGAAAACGAAGCGTTTGAGAGAGGCGGGGCATAGAGGACCTACAATAATGTACAGTATTTGAAAAATAATGTGTTTTTTGAACATTAAAGCATGTCAACATATTCTGTTACACCAAATACACAAAATAATGATCTTTAAAATAGCATCATATGACCCCTTTAAGACAGTTTTGTGTCCAATATAATGTGTTGAATAAGATGTAAACATGCAGTCCTTACATCATCCTGTGAGAGGACGGGGGACGAATACATCTCAATCAGCCCGCCGAGCTGCAGAACAAACACCTCATTAAAACCTCTAGCTGTGAAATATGAAGAGTATGAGGACTGATCTCATTTGGAGAGTTACCTGAATCTCTCTCCAGCCTCCTGGAACCTTTATGTAGAGTTTACTGGTGTCAATAAGGAAAGACAGCGTCCCGTCCTCGACCACAGACGACTGCTGTCTCATGGCCTGCAGACTCACATACTTCCTGATCTGCAGGAAAACAACATGCCATTTAATACAGGGAAATAAAAACATAGCACTTCTGTCACGCGTTTCTTTCATCCATGGAACACAAAATGATATATAACATATTTAGATGCTTATGCTGCTCTTTCCATATAACCTTTCATCCTCCTGACAGTTTATGACTGGATGTGGAGATTTGATGAACAGCGTTAACTGTAATTGTGTCTTAACCCTCGTAACGCATTCAAAATCTCTATACTGTTTTCATATTCCAGGTTCGTTTGGAGCCGAAAAATCATTATTTTATAAAACTTTCATAACTTAATATTTTTCAACTAAAACCATATTGTACCTGATCAGCAACTTCTCATTAAAGAGTGAATGTGGGAAATGTTTTTATTTTTTTATTACTGCATTTAACACTTTTTTTATTCATTAAAAAGAAATTCTTTGAAATTTCAAATCACACATTTAAAAAAAAAAAAAAAATCACACCCAAAAAAAATTAACCTATTCAAAATATGTATACATGAAATTATAGAAATTTTATTTTAATATATCATTGGATGAAATTTATAGTAATATATAATCTGAGAATCATCAGTATTAACCCCATTGGAATAAATGGAATTTAATTACATTCCTTCAAATTAATACCTCATAAATAATATTATCATGATTAATAAATTAATACCTCATGATTATTCAAAAACGGTCCACATTTATAAAACCTACATATTTATTTCTAACAAAACAACATAGATATTACTCTCAAAATAAATTTTACACACAAAAAAAATAATTTTACTTCCATAAACTTTCACATTCAGATGGTAAAAGTGATAAGATTTTTTTCAATGGTTATACCTCTTAAAAATATTTGTAGTCTTTATTCTGAAATTTAATTAAACTTTATTCAGAATAAATGAACAATAAATGAATAATACATAAATGAATTCATGATGAATGAATGATGTGTATTTGGAGGGTCTTAAGCATTTGCAAAGTTTTATTCCCTTACTAAAAACTATGCATTTTTAGAAATGATGCATCTCTTCCAGGTCAGAATGGACCTGAATGCATTATGAGAGTAAAGCTGGGTTTGCATCTTTCTGAACTGAGCACGAGCTTCGGTCTGTTTGATACGAGCATCTCGGGAAATCCTACAAGAAATATGACTGTGTTGTGAAAACTGAGCTGATTTACCGCTGTGCTCATCTCAGGATCTCAGTGTTTGCGTTAGGACACTCGAGCAGAGCGACATGACAGCAAATGACTGAGTGCTTTCACAGTTTGATCAGACTGTTAGTGTTGTGTTTTGACTCACGGCGCTGGAGGCCTCAGCGGCTCGTCCCGGGGGCCCGGGGGGTCCAGGAGGGCCAGGGATCATCATGCCTGAAACAACATGAACTCTGAGCGTCTGTGCATATCAAAGTGTGATAGCAGCAGAAGTGTTTGCCTTCATCACGGTCAGATGAAGAGCTATGGGGAGCGTTTCTGAAAGCCCTCGTAACCTTACATCAACAGCACATCCACTTCACACAAACAAACAGTGAACCTCCTGACCTTCAGTGACATGGACTGGGCTGAAGATGAGGGAAAATACAAGACTTTTGAAATGTCATAGGTTTTTTGTACCGGATCCGTGTTGTCCAGGAGGTCCGGGAGGTCCTGGTGGTCCAGCAACACCGGTTCTCCCGAAACCTGGTGCTCCAGGGGGTCCTCGAGGTCCTGGATGACCAGGGGGTCCAATGATAGATTCTCCTTTAGCTCCCTGCTGACAAACCAACATTATTAGACATTTCACAGCATTGCACTGGAAGCCGTCCATCTGGACTGTTTCTGAAAAACACCAGACCTGATCAAATTAAAGGAACAGTTCATCCATTAATAAAAATGATCAACACACTTAGATATGTGTGTGTGTGTGTGTGTGTGTGTGTGTGTGAGTGTGTGTGTGTGTGTGTGTGTGTGTGTGTG